TGGCGGCCCCCAGGATGAGGGCGTTTTCTGTGGCCGCACTGACCCTCTGGAATGGGTTACCCACCGCGCTCCAGACAGCCCCTGACCTCCGCACTTTCCACTCCGAGCTGAAGACATGGCTTTTTCAGCAAATTCCCTGATCTGCCGTGAGGTTTTTTAATTGTCTGGGGTTTTTAATTGACTAATTTTAGCACTTGGATTGCTGTGTTGTTTTTATTTTGTGAGCCGCCTCAAGTCCTACAGGAGAAGGGCGGCATATAAATTTGAAAAATAAATAAATAAATAAATAAATAAATAAATAAATAAATATTCTGTGAATATAAATTCTAGAATATAAATCATCAGTTGAGTACACCCAGCTCCTTAACAAAACTAGGCTCATCTATTAGTTCAATACCACATAACTTATACTTCGTTGGAAGTTTCGGAGGTTTCTCTGCATTGCCTACATCTTGGGTGCTGTCTAACGTGGTAGACCCTTGTTTCTATAGATCTGGTGCTTAGTGCTTGTTTTTCTGCTGCTATGATCAGTGTATAGTGCTATCTTTTAGTCCAGCCCTTTCCAGTCACTGGTAGGATTTCCCAATGTCTGCTCTCTCAGCTATCTGTTGATACCACATTCCATGCAGGATCTTGTCTTGTAATGGCAGTTCCTCTGCTTGATCTTCCTCCCACATTTGCTGCTGCCTCAAGAATTCTTTCAGCAGCTCATCTTTGTGTGCTGATGGTACTCCTGGGTGCTCTGGGTTCCATCCATGACAGTCATCAGAGCCCACCCACCCTCTTTCCAGTCTCTGAATATTGGACTCCTCCATACATAGTGAGGAACTTCTGAGCCTTCACACTGGCAGCTTCCATGTCCTCCTTTGACCAACTCATTATACCGGCAGGTATCTTATGATTGGCAAGAACATTCATGTTGATAGCATTTATCTTCTTCTTTCCATTGAGTTGGCTCTTCAGCACTTGTCTGATCCTTTGGTGATGTTTGGATGTTGCTGTCTTCCTTGCCTCCTCACTGTGCTTCCCAAGTGACTGTGGGATATCAAGGTACTTGTGGGTGGTTGTATGTCTGCTGTGTGATCTGCTAGTAGTTCCACTCCATCAGTTTTAACTAGTTTCCCTCTCTTCACTACCACTCGACTACACTTAAATAACAGAATAAGAGTTGGAAGGGACCTTGGATATCTTATAGTCCAAAGGCAAATGGTAATGTAAGACCTGATGTTAGGCTAACACCATTTATTACTACAACCCACACTTCCAACAATTCTTACACAAAACCCAGGAAAAAGAACATCAGCAGAAAATGCTGATCATGTCCATATGTGGAATGTGGTCCTTGCCCTTTTAATCCTTATTTTACCCAAAAGTTTCCTGAGTTCAGCTTTTGGCCACCAAAAGCTTCTTACTCATCCCTGTAGTAAACAGATAGCATCTGGGAGAGTGGGAGAGATGGCTGAGTGGGAAAGATGATTCTCTTTGCCTTCTCTTCCAAAATGATGGAGGAACAGTCTAGATTTTGCTGAGTCTCTACAAAATATCCCAAAGATGCTCAAAGCTGAGTTGCTGTTCTTATCTTATTTCAGCAACACAGAACAGAAATCTGTGTCTGCTTGCAAATCCATGCAGCAGTTTGTTGCTTGCTAATATAATCCTAATAAAGCACACAATATTACTGGGTTTAATTATGCCGTCCAGATATTAAGAGATTTACCTCTTGCTGTTCTACATCCTGCTCTCAAACAATAATCTTTTCTTCATCTTCTGCTCTCTGCATGAAACTGAATAGGTGTTCCATTTATAAGGCTCTGGACTCTGGTCGTATGTCTACCCAAACCTCATTTAATCAGTTCAGAAAATCCCAAACTACTAAAGGGCTTTTATCATCCTTGTCCTCATTCAAAGCATCAAAACGGCTGAGCTAAATATGAATATTCATATATTCAAACCTTTGGGAATACCTCCTTTAAAAGGACACATGAAAGAAACACTTGAGCAATATCATGGGTAGGATCCCAGCATTTTGATAAACTGAAAGCTTTGTGAACAAAGATTTTGCTTTGGGGTTGCTCCTCCTAACTGCAGGCATATCTTTCCATGCTACCATTTTTGGTGTTTTGGGATGTAGAGGGTTAACTGATTAAAGCTTTCACTTTGTGGCGAAGGTTGTAGAGAGTGTGGTGGCACGACAACTTCCCCAGTACCTGGATGAAGCTGTCTATCTGGATCCATACCAATCAGGTTTCAGGCTGGGGTACAGCACGGAAACGGCATTGGTCGCATTGGTTAATGATCTCTGGAGGACTCGGGACAGGGGTTGTTCCTCTGTCCTGGTCCTATTAGACCTCTTAGCGGCTTTTGATACCATTGACCATAGTATCATGCTGCGCCGGTTGGAGGGGTTAGTAATGGGGGGCACTGTGTTGCGGTGGTTCTCCTCCTTCCTCTCTGACTGTACGCAGTCCGTATTGGCTGTGGGACAGAGGTCGACCTCGAGGCACCTTATTTGTGGGGTGCCGCAAGGGTTGGTCCTCTCGCCCCTCCTGTTCAACATTTATGTGAAGCCGCTGGGTGAGATCATCCGTGGTTTTGGGGTGAAGTTCCATCATACGCTGATGATACTCAGCTGTACATCTCCACCCCGGACCACCCCAATGATGCCCTTGACATGATGTCCCGGTGCCTGGAGGCCATGCGGATCTGGATGGGGAGAAACAAGCTCAGACTCAACCCCTCCAAGACTGAGTGGCTGTGGTTTCCGGTGTCCTGGTATAGCCAGCTGGCTCCATCGCTGACTATTGGGGGTGAGATCTTGGCCCCCTCAGAGAGGGCTTGCAACTTGGGTGTCCTCCTGGATGCACGGCTGTCTTCAGAAGATCATATGATGGCTGTGGCCAGGGGGGCTTTTTATCAGGTTCGCCTGATTTACCAGTTGTGTCCCTTTCTGGACTGGGATGCCTTACGCACAGTCACTCATGCCCTCATCACTTCCCGTCTGGACTACTGTAATGCTCTCTACATGGGTCTCCCCTTGAAGAGTGCTCGGAGGCTCCAGCTGGTCCAGAATGTGGCTGCGCGGGTGATTATGGGAGCGACACGGCGCACCCATGTAACACCTCTCTTGCACGAGCTGCACTGGCTCCCGGTGGTCTTCCGGGTGCAATTCAAGGTACTGGTTACCATCTTTAAAGTGCTCCATGGCTTAGGACCTGGTACTTATGAGATCGCCTTCTGCCACTGATAGCCTCCCACTGGCTAATATGCTCCCACAGAGAGGGACTCCTAAGGGTGCTGTCAGTCAAACAATGTCGACTGGCGATTCCCAGGGGGCAAGCCTTCTCTGTGGGGGCACCTGCCCTCTGGAATGAATTGCCCCCGGAGATACGTATGATCCCTGACCTACCTACCTTTTGCCGTGCCCTTAAGACTCTACTTCCAACAGCCTGGCTGGCTTAAATAACAAATTTTAATGGATGTTTTAGTTTTTTAGTTTTTTAATATAAGGGCCAAATTATTTAATATGTTTTAAACTGCTTTTAAATTTTATGGATATATGTTGTTTTATTGTGGCTGTGCACCGCCCTGAGTCCCTCGGGAGAAGGGCGGTAAAAAAATTTAAATAATAAAATAAATAAATAAATAAATAAAAGCATCTTGGAAGCCTTCAAAATGTACCATTCTTATCATCCTCACTTTTGCTGGGAAGAATTTATGGGAACTTTAGTGCCACTACATTGCGAGGATATCCTGATTGGGAAAGGTTGATGTGTCTTTAACTGCTACATGTGTACTGATAATAAAAATTGTTGGAATGTTTCATAAATATAAACAAGAATCTATAATTCACTCTTTATTTTTGTTAAGTAAACCATTTTTCCTGCCTCCAATTTGATCTTCCTGTGCTGGTAGAATGGAGAGAGAAAAATCAGTGGCTAGAGTAGTTTACTGTTTATAGGAAAATATGCAAAAGAGTGCAGCTGCTGTGTACATTCTTCCTATTTAGATGCATTTAAGAATACATCGTCAATAGCAATCCTGAAAACGTATTGCACTGATTAACATCTGCATCAATGTATATTTTTTTTGTGTGCCATTGGTATATTTACCTCCACAGTCATGCACATTGTTGGTCTTATCTTCTTTATCTCTTTGGATATCACGATAAAGTATTTGCTGAAGAGGTATGCCCTTGTTTTGGTCACTTATGATCTTGTGTACCTGTTGTGGATTTAAACAAATAAACCCTTCTTCTGTACGCATAAAGTACTTATCACCTGAGAAAGCCGGTTCTGGAGGTAGATGTTTATTGTTTATAAACAATAGAAATCCATCTGCACAAGAATCTCCCTCTTTTTGTTCCTTGTATAAGGGCCTTTCCCATTGCTGGGATGAAGTGCTCTCAACCCATCCTTGAGCTGGCAGAAAACTAAACCAGCATAGAATTTGCAGTCTCCATTGTTAGTCCTTATGTTACCTCCCTTTCAAGCCCCTGAAACTGCTTGGCTTTTTTTTTTTGGCAACCTAATGATGACAGTTTAATTGTTTTTACTCAACCAGACCCTGTCCTTGGATGGTGGAAATAAAGGAAAATAAAACATATTGTTACACTAGCACAATGCGATGACTTAAGGTCTGTTTCATTATGTTCTGGGGATGAGAACACCTTAAAGTACATGCCAGAAAACTGATATTGCTGGAGTACGTTTGTGCTATGGTTCGGTTTGAATTGAGGAAAGGATGTAAGTAAACTAGAGATAAAACAGCTCCATACACGTCTCAAAGGAACAACATAAAGCCCCCAAAAAGGTATTTAAAATATACAGAATAGACTAACCATGATTTCAGGAAACATCTGTAATATCTATAAATATCTATAAAGTTTTATTCTCCCCAAAAGGTTTAGTTGTGAGTTAAAGAATTAAATCCTTTCTCAAACCTGAGATAGTTTTGCTAGTTTAACTCATGGCAAATGTTACTTTTGAAAAGAAAAGAAAAAAGACATTTTAAAATCATTTTCTTGCAAAAGACATACAATATGTCAGGCAATACATATACTGAAATCAAATGATGAAGCCAGAAAAGTATTATAGAGTGCTTTAAGATATCTTTTTATAAGTACTAATTAGACAAGATCAATTAATATAAATCATAGCAGGACATTAATTTCTTTTGTCTTTCGGATCCTGATACCTTAATTAATTCTCTCTTTGGCCTTCATCCTAATATGGGTGAAGTTATATTCATGATAGGAATAGTTTTCTGTCTTTGAAACTGAAGCACTAGGAGAAAAAAAAACATGCAGCTTTTTTTACATGTACCTATACAGAGGTTCCTTATGACATTAGCACTTTTTAAAAGAATACTATTTGTGTGCAAACTTGCAAAAATCCTTTGTATGTACAATTATGTATAAGCAATATATAATTGTCCATTGTGTTTTCATTTATGTTCTAATATAACTCTACATTGTTTTTGTTCTCTTACTGATCAATGGGAGCAAAGTTATTGTGATTTTCTGGCAACTGAATTACCGTGTTTTTCAGAGTATAAGATACACTTCCCCCCACAAAAGAGCATGAAAATTTGGATGTGTCTTATACACCAAACGTAGCCCCCGCCAACCCACCGGCCCCCATCCTTTGGCCTCTGCCTCCCAGCAATTTGTCTCCTTGCAGGAAACAGCCCATTTCAGTTTCAGCTTCAGCATAGCTTGATTAGCACAAGCAGCGGATTATCAATTGGATTGGCCTCCCAACCATCAGCTGTTTCAGGCTGCAGGGATTGCCATTGCCTATTGCCGCCTCCGCGCCCTCCCCCCCATTTTCAGCCTCAGCTGTTTGCTGTTTTCTGTTTGCTGCAAGGAAGCAAATTGCTGGGAGGCACAGGCAAAGGCAGATTTTTTCCCCTTGTTTTCCTCCCCAAAAAAGGTAGGTGTGTCTTATAGTCTGGAGCATCTTAAACTCTGAAAAATACGGTACAATCTGAACTTTAAAACTTGCTTTGGGGTTTATCATTTGCAAATGATAACGCCCGTTACTCAGATTCCTAGTTGTCTTGTCTAATGCCTACAGGATAAATTATTGCCGTTATATACTTTGATTCAAACACAATCTTGTTCCCAATCCTGATTCTGCATTCTCTACGAGTTTTTCATTTTTCAAACATCGAGCATTAACCTTAACATTTCTTGGGTTCCTTGTAGCTGTTGCATGGCTGGTCCTGGAATGTCCTCTGTTCTTTTTGTGGTTGTCAGGGAGAGGAGGGTTTATGTTTGAAGAACAAAATGCTATTGGCTAGCTTTCCACAAAAAAATAATAATTGTTTTTTCTGGCTTGGAGCTGGCCCATCACCCTTTGTTGCCTGATATACTGTTAGGTGACACCTTTCTTACTAAGCAATTCCACCTAGAGAATCTGGCATTTACAGAGTTGAATTATTCTTTATCACTGGTGATGGGACAGCACCTTGAACCTCAGCTGAGATCAGCAATCAGTTTAAGGGTGATGCATCATCAGCTGAAATGCTTATCACTTAGGATAGAGGTGAGCAATCTTTGGACTTCAGCCTAATTTCAGAAAGCTTCTGCAAAAGATTGATTCAGATCTTTGATAAAAGCTACCTGTCTCTTCCTTACAACCTGCAAGATAGAGAGAGCATAGATCTCTCTGAGAATGAGAAAAAGAAGGGTGGTTGCCATCAAAATAATATGTGTCTCCATCCACTTTTGATTTGGGCCCTACCTATTGCTTTCTTTAGCACTCTTAACTATATTGTGGACAGATTACCTCTAAGGCAATGTGAACCGTAGCCAAAAAAGATAACCTGTCTACGTTAGGGTCACTCCAGATAAGATGGAATGTGGAAACCAATATGAAATTAACATTAAACGAAATGAAATTGCACTCTTAGCAAATGGAACTGGGAGTCCATTTTCAAGTTTGATTGTTGTTGATTGTGGGACTATAAAAAACACAGTGCTAAATCCTATTTGCCTCTTTTCCAAGTCACTGCAGATTCCACCAACACACATTCACATACATGCCTGCTGGGCAGCATCTTTAGTGTCTGTCTTTCATCCTACATGTTCCAAGCCATATGTTCATCTTGGCACTCCTTCCTGTGCTATATTTTCTTATGACTAATTGCAGCCTGAGCACATAGCCTTGGATTTTTGAATATGGAGATGATCCATCTCAGGAGTTAAAGCTGGCAGCCCCATGGGAACCAGAGGCATTTCAGTCCAGATGGGTATCCCTTGATGTTGCTTGCCTAAGAGCCCTAGTAGCACCTATCAATATCGGTATCTCATCTACCAAACTCTTTGTCAGCTTTAACCATCAATCTGATTCAGGCTCCAGCTACCATGGAGATGCAACTGAAAATGACATTGTGAAGGCATACTGTATATATTTTAATAAAAATATTATATAATTCTTCTTCTTCATCATCATCAACTTCATCTTCTTAGTAAAAAGCCTAATATATAAAAAAGCAATACTTACCCCACTCCTCAGGTGACAACAAGCAATCAAACAAGCCATTTGATGGGTTCCATCCCGCTCTGGGTTCCCCAGGCCCGTTGGCAGAACCAGGTCTTCAGAGCCTTGCGAAAGAGTGTCAAAGTGTGGGCCAGTCTGGATGATCTTCCAAAGGGAGGGAGCCACCACAGAAAAGGCCTTTTTTCTGGGTCCCGTCAGATGTAATTCCTTAATTCCTATTAAATCTCCCACTACCAGCAGTGAAAGACAGTGATCTGTAAAGAGAGTAATGGTCAAGGATCTAGAAAATGAAGCCCCCCCCCATTGTTTCATTTAACTCATTGTTACATAGAGAGAATAGCAGCAACTTTCCTTGTTTTTGGACCGGAATCTTTTTCATCCCGACTTAGTGAAACCAGGTATTGAAGCTTATGCAAAGAGTACAAATGTATCACTGATATGAACTGGTGCTTGTATAGTAAAAATTATAAAAATTGTTTCCTGTTTAATGTTTATTTGTCAAACAAAAATTAAAAATTCAAACAAGCAAAATTAAAAAATTAAAATGAGACAGGGACGATAGGTACATTAGTGCACCTATGCGCACACCCCTTAAGGACTTCTTAAATATGGGGTGAGGTCCACAGAAATGAAGTTGGAATTAAAACTACAAATGTTAGTGGCTGAGACAACTGAATCAGGTGGAATTTTCCAGCCTTTGACAAGCATAAGGGCCTTGGTGGCGCAGTGGACTAAGTGATGTTAAAGTTGCACTTAGTTGCCAGCTGCCTGCAATTACTGCGAGTTCAAATCTCACCAGGCTCAAGGTTGACTCAGCCTTCCATCCTTTCAAGGTAGGTAAAATGAGGACCCGGATTGTGGGGGCAATAAGCTGACTTTGTATAAAAAAGAACACCGCTGGGGGGGGGGGCAAAAGCCCTACTAAGCAGGTATATACAAAAGTATGAAGTCTATTACTTAATGCATTGTAAGCCGCCCTGAGTTTCCGGAGAAGGGTGGCATATAAATCGAACTAATAAATAATAAATAAATAAATAAATTGTTACAAAAATCATTTTTTTTACAATCAAATTTAAAATGGTTTACTTTAAGTTTAAAGAGATTATTCACATGTGTTACATTGCAGTTAAAACTAAAAAAAGTCATTTACGGGAAAAACATTATTATGTACAATTTTGTAAGTGATATCTAAGTCTAACCGCAAGCGTCGCAGTTCTAAACTATCCAAACCAAGAATTTTAAGTCTAGTAACATAAGGTATTCTATTATGAACAGAAGGATGCAAGACTTTTCTTGTAAAGTACTTCTGAACTTGCTTGATTGTATTTATGTCCGATATGTGGTAAGGATTCAAAATCATTGAACAGTATTCTAGGATTAGCCTAACATATGCTTTGTAAGCTCTAGTAAAGAATACAGTATTTCCAGATAAGAAACTTCATTTTGTGTTTTTTAGCAATGCTGTTAGACAATAAATCATTAGAGAGGATTACACTTAGGTCCTTAACAAAATAAGGGTCATCTGCTAGATCAATACTACATAACTTATATTTTACATTCTGGTTTTGTTTTCCGATATGTAAAACTAAACATTTCTTAACTGAAATGTGAACTTGCCAAATAGATAACCATTCAAAAATGTAGTCAGTGTCATTTTTCAAAATAAATGAATTTTTAGTATTAAACAATTTTACATCATCAGCAAAGAGGACATAATTATTTTTAAGTTGACCTTATATGTCATTTATGTAAATCAGGAAAAGAGTAAGTCCTAGGACACTGCCCTGAAGAAACATCACTATTAACTAATACCAAATGAGACATTGAATTGCCTATTTTAACTTTCTGCATCTTGTTAGACCAGGAGTGTCAAACTCTATTTCATTGAGGGCCACATCAGGGTTGTGTTTGACTTCAGGGTCAACTTGAGGGTGGGTGTGGATGTGGACACTCATGTCAGGGGTGCCTGTGGCAGCCCAAGCACTCTGCCAGCGAAAACAGGCTCCTGAGCTTTTTTTGGCTGCAATGGCCTCCTGCAATCCTCTGCCAGCTAAAATGGAGATCAGGAGGGCTGTCCGCAGTCCTCGCGAGCTCCATTTTTGGCTGTGACTGCCTCCTGTAACCCTCTGCCAGTGAAAACCGAGCTCAGGAGGGCAGCACACAGCATTCGCAAGCTCTGTTTTCAGTTATGATGGTCTCCTAAAACCCTCTGCCAGCAAAAATGGAGCTCGGGAGGGCCACATGCCATTTTTGTGGCTGGTAGAGGCACATGCTGGCAGAGGCACTGTGGGACGGTCTTTTGCTGTCTCCAGGGCAGCCCCGTGAGCCAGATCTAAGCACCCCATTGGCCGGATCTGGCTCCCAGGCCTTGAATTTGACACCCCTGTGTTAGACAAAAAAAGCAGCAATCCACTTATATAAAAATCCAGAAATACCATAAGAATTTAGTTTCAAGAGCAGTTTATTGTGTACTATTTGCAAAAGTCCATATAGATTACATCTACAGCTTTGCCTTGATCAAGGCATGTTGTCCAAATATTTTAACAATGCAAAAGTTGTAAATTACATGACACTTTTTTCAGAAATCAAACTGTTTGCTGAAACAGATTGTTTTCCTCCACATGGCAAATGGATCACCAATTGATTTATAACTGATTCCATGATTTTGCATGTAACGCAAGTTGAAGAGATGGGCCTGTAATTTTCAACTAAACTGGGATCACCATTTTTACAGATTGGAATAACTGTAGCTAATAACCATAAATTAGGCAAAGTGCTAGTTCAAAATGATACGTCAAAATTGTGCACAGAAATAATAAAGGGAAGAAGCAATGGACTTAACACTGAAGACTTTCTAGTTTGGAAGAAAAAAAACCCAGATGCTATTGTGGAAATGTATTTGGCAATAATCTCTAATTTAGTTCTTCATGCATTCTGCTTATACCATCAGAGTTAATTGCTTTATCCCTTCCTTCTTTTATTGTATGCTGATTTCAGGTGTTGGTCACAATTATTATGCAATTCAGGAGCAAATAAGGTTATTCAAGTGGGAATCCATAGTTCCTCTATCAGGCATATCACTAAAATAGTGAACCTCTGATGATATTAATCAGCAAGTCCCAGAATTCTTAGCTCTTTGGAAATACGACAAAACATCTGAGACAATAGAAGGCTGTTTTACAAAGAAGGGGGAAAGCTCAATTTAGTTTCTCTCTCCCCCCACCCTTCCCCAAGTACACAAACTATCCTACTCAATGCAGTCTCTCTCTGAAAATGGCATATCTGGTCCTTCTTGTCCTGGGCAATTGCTGATATACTTGCTATAATCAGGTCTTGATAAGAACTGCTGCTGACACAATCAATCAGTCCCATGTTTCATTTGAACATGATCAGAGCCCTTGGATTACACTAAAGCCAGCTTTATGCGACTGATGAGTTCCTGATTTCTGAGTTGTGCCAATTGCTGTTGTTCTTACTATGCATTCTCCCTGCCTAATTCATCACAGTGGTCTGTTTCACATTGCAAATAGTAAAAAAAAAAGAAAAAAAGAAAAAAAGAAAAAAAGAAAAGAAAAAAAAAGTAAGTTTGTTGTGTGAACCCAAATCCTTAAGCATGCTTTGAAGTTCTGTGCTTTGTAATTCAAAAGTCATCTGGCTAGTGTCTGCTCTTTTGCCAGCTTTAATCAATGAACAATAATCAATTATCATATCAAAGTGTTCAGTGGCTTCCCTCAATGGTACAGTAATGTAGCTTGTGTGGCCTCATTTCCTGACATGACTCTGAACTAAAGCCAATGTCATGGAAGCGGTTTCTAGTCCCTCCCCCAACAGTATGGAGTTTCTCTCCTGTTTATACCCATGGGAAGAATTTGATCTGCCAACAATGTCCGTTCTGTTTTTGGACAGACACAACTGGATCAAACCCAGGAAGCCTGGGGTTCCTAATGTGAATCACCTTGCCTGCAGATGCCTGAGCTCTCAACAGGCTTTCTTCTCTCCTGGTTTTTGTAAAATATATTTAATTAAAAACAATATTTGGAAAGCTGTTAGGCTGCCAAGCAAAATGCTACGTTCCAGCTCCTTATTTATTTTCAAGAATGCTTCTAGGAACTTCTCGCTGAAGCCTTCCTCAGGAGTACAACTATAGGGGTGCCAAATTTCTCGTCATTATTCCCAGGTCTGCTTTCCACAAAGTTGTTTTTGAAGTTTTGTGTATCTGAATATTAAATAAGGAAACCTAATTTTTTTTCTTACAACTGGGAATGAAACGAGATTCCCAGGGAGGGAGATTCAACTAAGATTCAATCTTCGTAGCAGCCTACCTATAATTCTCTTTGGAGAACATCTACAAAAAGATATACAAGAGAAATTAAAACATAATAACATCAATAATATGAGATGGGAAAAAACAGGTAATGATTAGATGGATATACTATGTTATCATATGATTGAATTTTGTTTTAGTATGTTTTATGAGCCTAGTCACTGTACCTTTTAAAATCATGATAGGCTGCGTATAAAAGTCTTATGGTTTAGCACAGCTGGCTGGGGAATTCTGGGAGTTGAAGTCCATGCATCTTGAAGTTGCCAAGTTTGAGAAAGAATTTTTAGTTTATAAGCCCAGCCATATGAGCTTGGAGGTTTGGGGAAGATACTCTCAGAACAAGACAAATGATGCAAAGCTTGCTTTTTATCGGGCTGGAATAATGCTTTTATAGGGCTAGGTGAAGACAGATGGCTACCAGGGTAGTGGGGGGGTGGAGGTGGGAAGGAGGGAGGATTTAAAAAAATCAAGATGGTGGCTGCAATTGTATAACAGATACCCTTACTTTTAACTGTGGGGCTTTCAACTGTATAGTTGCAGCCACCATTTTGATTTTTTTAAAAATTGAAGCTTCACTCTTTAAAAACTGGTGAGTTTCTGATCACAACTGCCTTCTTGTCTTTTTAATAGAAACAACCCTTTTCAAAAGGCTTGGGACCTCAGTCGTAACTATGGCCTCAATCATGACCACCATATCCTGGCTTCTTTTACTTCCTGGTTAATGCTCCTGGTTGTTCCTTTAGATCACGGGTATCAAACTCACAACATCACATTGCCAACATGTGACGTTTTGTGACTTTTTCCCATTCGCAGAGCTGGTGTGGGCGTGGCCTGCATATGATGCATCTGTCCCACGGGCCGCCAGTTTGACACCCTTGTGGATTCACCCAATTGCTCAGACAGCTGCTTGTTGTGTCAAAGCCTGGATAGGATTTATTTTATTTATATTCCAGCTTTTGACTAAGAAATGGGGCTTAAGGCTGCTAGTATAGTAATAAAGGGAAAATGAAAAACTAAGCAGATTAAAGGTACAATTAAAAATATAATTAAGGCATGATGAAAAACACACCCA